AGAGAGAGAGAGAGAGAGAGAGAGAGAGAGAGAGAGAGAGAGAGAGAGAGAGAGAGAGAGAGAGAGAGAGAGAGAGAGCTTCAGGTGTATTATTTTATTTTTACCCTTCGGAGACGTTTTTTCGTTTTCCCTCAGATTACTTTGGTGGATGACTTGAGAGGTGGACGATCTTCTCACGCTAGCTTTGAGTTCTTCTGAGAATAGCATGGTAGAGAAGATGTATGTGCACTAGAAAGACGGGGAGATACATTAGCAGTGGTAGGTCTTGGTTATGACCAGTCACGTATGTGCAGAATGTGCTTCATGCTGCCTGGTGGGGGGCAACCTGTAAGTCTGCAGTACGGCTCCTCTCCCGCTGAGGAACGGATAAGTACAATAAGGCAAGGCATTAGCTTTCTCTTTGGGCACATGAACATAAGTTCATTCTCCCGAGGAGGTCTGCTGGTGGGCAGATAAAACCGGTCGAGGGAATCCACCGGTGCTCGTTTTGGTGGCTTGTCTATGGACTTTTCTGTATCGGAAGATTTGTGCTTTTATGCTGTTGGCTATGGTGTGATCTTCTGTTACATGCTGCGCCTGCACACGGGCCCCATTTTGGGAGGCTGGAGGCCCCCAGGCTGTACACCCGTCAGACGCGCGCCCTGGAGGCCCACGGCCGGCCTTAGGGCCGCAGGTTTCGAGTTGAGGCAGCATTCATTTATTTATTCAGTTATTTATCTATTTGCTGTCCTACTTGTGTCCGTTCAGGCGTCACTTCAGACTTGCAGTCCGTCCGAACAGACTTTCGGTCTGTTTGGACAAGGCCACGTTTTTGGCCTGGTATGGACGTAGGTAGGGCCTGTTGGGCCAGGTCCATCTTTGTCTGATAGCGGAGGGCCTGGACGTCCGGTAGGGACCCAGGCAGTCCACGTTTTGGACTAGGACCAGAGGCACACGGAGTCACACCCGCGAGGCCCAGCGCTACTTATAGCTGGGGAACGCTTGGTCAGACACACAGTTCGAGTAGCTCACTTCTTGGGCGACATGCTGCTGGAGCAGCGCAACAGCGCTACACTAGAGGTAGAGGTGTAGGTAGGCAGTGTGGCGGAGGCCATACCTGCGTCGGCGGAGATCTTACCTGGGCGCCATAGCTGGTCTTCGGGCCAGCGCCCTGCAGTGCAGAGGAGACATGTGGCGACAGTTAGTACGTGGCGGCAGTTACCTGCAGGTGAGATAGCGAGGAGGACGACATCTTCTTCTTCTTCTTGCTCTCACCCTTCATCTCTCCTCCCCCCTCCTCCTCCTCCTCCTCCTTCTTCTTCTTCTCCTTCTTCTTCAGAGAGAGAGAGAGAGAGAGAGAGAGAGAGAGAGAGAGAGAGAGAGAGAGAGAGAGAGAGAGAGAGAGAGAGAGATTACAGGCAGAGGTACGTCGGGCATGGAGCCCAGGATCTGATCTGACATTTTGAGGCAGACATTGATTGGACATTCGGCTGGTAGATTATTTTTGGACTTCGCTATCGCGATCTTGGTCTTCTCCATCCTCACCATCTTCGTCTCGCCTCTCCCCCATCTTCTCATCCGTGTTATCTCCGCCATGTGCGTGTTCAAGGAGGGACCTTTATTCCATGTATGTGGCCCCTCCTCCCTCTCTCACATGTGTGGTATATGATGGGGTGTCGCATCAGTATCTGACAGGTAAGTCATATCTTTGAGTCTTCCGCTGCGCTACATTGTGCTATTTTCATATGTATCTGGATGTACATTGCTTGTCGATGCTTTGCTGACACTGCATTGTCCATTCAAGTCCTTTTCATCCCTTCTCGGATCCTTGGCTTCACACACATCGCTCAAGTGAGCATGTATCATCTTCCCTCCAGTTTTGTCTGTATGCTGCTGCCCAGACTGTGTTGCCACGGTCTGCGTCACCCTTTGGCGCATAGTAAGCGGTAGCTCGGAGCTGGGCGGTGGCTATGTCGACGACAAGTCTTCATTGGTGTTATTCTTTGGCGAGATTAAATCGCCATCAACGGTGCTATTACTCTGTGATTGTGGGGATCGTTCTGCATGCGTTCGGGTCGTTTTACTGACGATTTGGTCTCAAAGCTTGTCGGGTAGTGGATTTTCAGCTATCTTCTTTCAATCTACTCAATGCGCGGTTCTGGAGCTGGTCTTCCGATCGGCTCGAAAGGTATGCGACGTCATCTTCATGAGTACTGTTGTGGAGATCAGTCAGACCGTTGTCTAACCTTAGGAGAAGGATATCACGGGGATACGTTTCTCGTGTCCGGAATTTGTTTTGGACATTGGATAGCATTGCTGCGAGCCTGAAGAAGCCCACTATCCCGCGGAAGGTGGAATTCTGTCCTTCAAAAACGGTTCAAAGGTAAAAATAGTTGGATTAGATCAGATCTGTTGGGTGCATCCGCTCTTCGGTTGATTGGCGGATTTAAAGGCGTTGAGGGTTTGGAGTTTTGTTTGATGGTAGTCGAGTTCGGGGTTCACTAGTAGATTCGCTCTTGTAAGTACGGAGTTTACGTGCACATACATACGATAACCGACCTCTTCGCGTTTTTCCGGAAGTTGAGATACGTTGGGAAGCTCCAATATGCAGCGAACTTGCCATGCGCAGAAACTCAGGCCACCCACCACATGCAGCATGAACTCTCACTTGACCACCATGCACAGCCCAACAGGTAAAAGGGCCTTTACGAATTAGACCCCAGATGAATACCCCAACAGCGAGGGGCCCTGTCGGCGAGAACTTAAATTCACGAACAGCAACCCAAAACACAAAGTTCCTGAGACAAATGTCGCATCCATAATGAAATGAAAAGTCGTTTTGAACAGTCACAAACAGGTCCTGCACGAACAGGTATTGGCCACAGTTTTCTAGACTGAGTTAGGGTCATGTCTCCTCGATGGAAAGCCATGTCTGTTCGGCAATGAGTCAAAGGCCACAGTCCCAGTCCAGTCATAATCCCACGAGTCAGTCCTGATCCAGACCAGGAGTCTGAGAGACAGGCCCGATGGCCCAAAGCAGCAGCAAACCATGGGAAAAGATAGTGGGACACACACTTTGCAACAACGGGTACTAGGCAGGAGTCCCAGACACTTGAGGCTGAATGCAGGCCACACCAGGCCAGTCCAGCACTATAAAGGACTGGCCAGACTCCCATTTGGACAGATGCTCACTTTGAATGAGAGTGTGGAAGTGCTGTGGCACTTGTGCGCCAGATGCGTGTGAGCTGCGCTAGGATGAAGAGCAGCGCTATGTGGGAAGGAAGAGAGTGCTGGCTAGAGGGAAGGCAGCCATAGCTGCGCCAGCGATAGTTAGTATGTTAGTAGGGATAGTCGCTAGTTGATACCGGTGAGTAGCATTCAGAGTAGATCCTCGTGTGATAGGGAGTGTGCATGCATGATGAGTGAGGGTAGACCAGGACTATAGAAATAGAGGGAGAGAGAGAAGAAGGCAGACGAGAGAGGGGGAAGTGTGAGCTATGATGACACTTACCTGTTGAGCGCTGTTGTTGACGATTGGAAGCTGGCACTGATGAGCGCCAGGCTTGGAACTCATGTTGATCGAAGAAGACTTGTAACTCTGTTCAGCGCTATACACTTTGAACTCACGATGTTCTCTCTCTAATTCTGGGTTTGATAATTGAGTTGAGCTTCCTGGATCTCATTCATCTTCTATTGGGTTTTGTGTGAGACTTCGCAATCTGTGAAATCAGTGTATATGCATGTGATCTGATGCACTCCAGCAAGTGAAGAACAGTTGGGTTCCTTGGACAGGGGAGATTTATCCGGATATTTAATATTTTATTATTTATGCGAGGAAGTTGAAGGAACTGACAAAGTAATAAAATCATCGCACAAGCACAACAGTGTAGTATGTATGTACGCTAACAATCATACTTGCAAGAGGACAGACCGGACGAGCGTCCGGTCTGGTCCGCTTTGCCGCGTGCGGCACCCTCCCCCCGGACCAGACGGACCCGGACCGGACCGGACTGGACCAGACGGGGCCATTTTTTTTTTTTTGGGGGGGGGTGGGGGGTAACTGGTCGTTGGGTGCACATTCGTGCGCCGCGTGGGTCCGGTCCGGCGGTCCGCCGCACGTGCGGAGCCGCGCGGACGGCGTCCGCTTGCAAGTATGCTAACAATACTGAAGTTCCTTGATGATGGAAGTAAAAAAAAAAAAAAAAGGAAAAAAGAGTCCATTACCTTGCCTCCAACACCAGACACAACAAAAATATCCACTGGTACATCCATCCTTGACTTTTTTTTATTTAAAATAAAAATCATTTTAATTTTTTAAGTCCATTTACCAATGAATATGAATATGCCAAACCAGTTACAGAAACATTTGACGGTCTAAACATACAATGAACCAAAGCACAGACAAGTCCCAAAAAAAAAGAGGGGAAAAAAAAAAAAAAAAAGAACATTGACAAGTGGAGCAGGTAGTACAGGTTGACTTGCACGTACCGACAGTTTGTCGTCTATGTCGTTCCCCTCAGCAATTCTACTCTGCAGCTGTTCAACTCTCTCCTGTGCAAGTGAACGCCAAACATCCAAATGAGTGAGGGGAATGACAGAAATAGGCCCAAGCTGTCTTCCCCAAAACAGAAGGCATGGCCATTGTAGCCTAGGTTACCAGAGTGGCCCGGGCCCCGGGGCCACTTGCGCGGCCAGGCCAAAAACATAAATAAGAATTCAAAAAATAATAATAATAATAATAATAAAATAATAAAAAATAATTTTAATTTTAAATTTGGTAAGGAATTTCGATATGACCCTGCGGCAAAAGTTGTTCAGTTTATTTTTCTGCATAACATAGTTTTGTTTCGTTTTTTTTTTTGTTTTTTTGTCTTTTTTTTTTTGGTTTTTTGTCTTTTTTTTTTTGGTTTTTTGTCTTTTTATTTTTTCCTGGGACCTTCCCTGGTCCTTGCACGGCTGGGCCACCCGGGACAACAGGGTGTCCCGAGCGGCCCGGCTGGTAGCCGAGATTGTAGCTGCATTTGAGCCAACTTTCAGTCTGGATACAGTGATAATGTCTCCTCAGCAACTCGACTCTGCAGCTGTTGAACTCTCTCCTCTGCAAGCGAATGCCAAGCATCACCAAGTCAGTAATGGGAATAACAGAAAAACAGGCCCTACCGCCTTCTTCGGAATAGAACGCATGGTCATTGTAGCTGCATTTGGGGCAGCTTTAGAACGCATGGTCATTGTAGCTGCATTTGGGGCAGCTTTCGGTCTAGATACAGCAATGCATGGTCATTATAGCTGCATTTCAGGCAACTTTCAGTCCAGATACAGCAACACATGGTCATTATAGCTGCATTCGAGGGCAACTTTCAGTCTAGATACAGCAATGATGATTGTGTTCTCTATTCGGGGCAGGAAGGCCATAGATGCTTTCGGTCTTCTGCCCACCTGCAACTCCGACTTTACTATACGCCATGACAACTGGCATGCAACACCTTGCCGAAGACGATAGCAGCATACTACATAGGGGCTTGATCCATTGAATAACATTAAAAATGTATCTGGAACCGGTACTGGTCCAGATACATTCAACAACTCCTGGAAAACCCCTCATGTATCTGGTTTCGTACCCAATCCAGATACGTGCAGAATTTCGTGTAGCGGAACTTTATTCAAGTGATTAAAACCTTACAAGGATCGCAAAATGATCATGCAATAGGAATATTACAATTTAGAATTTGACAATTTGTTCAACCTTTGAAAGAGGGAAAAAAATAAAATAAAATAAAAAAAGGCCTTGTTCAAGCTCCCACAGTTCATACTACTGTCTTCACTCGAATACAACGCCGGTCATTATCGCTGCATGTAGACTGAAAGTTGCCCCAAATACAGCTATAATGACCAGGCATCAGTGTTGGATGAGCCTGGATGCAACCGGGCTGGATTGACCCAAGTCCTCCAACCGGAATTCGCATATGATAAAAATCTGCGTCGGGGAACCGCCAGAGTGCAGATCCGAAAGGAATTCTGCATGATGCTTCGACTCTGTTTTGTCCTGCTGTATTTTCCTTCAAACCTGCTGACAAAACAGAGTTTCGCTATCCAGTGCTCGTGCTCGTGTGAGAGCTCAGTGTTCCTGATTGCATGAACTGACTCGCTGCAGACCTTCTGCACCAAAGTACTATCTTACCTTACCTTCAACCGGAATTCTGGTTGGGCTCAAAACCGGTCCAATTTTTATTTCTTTTATTTTTCCTGAAAGCAGGGTTCGACTGTGCTCACCGAGAACAGTCCGAATCCGCAAAGAAAACTGTGA